TTGAACCAGCAGGGAGGTGGCGCAGAAACACTCGCGCTGTATATGAGCACAGATCTGTTTTTCACACTATTTCAACAATGTAAGACGGTGAGGCATGATGCATTGCCTGCATCTGTCTCCCACAATCTCACCATTACAGCACTAATACAAGAGGAGGCCATTGCATAATGCAAAAGTATATAAAGGAGTAAAAGTTACTCTTAGGTTCCTTAGGGATGTTTTCAGTTGTTTGTCAATGTGCTGAGGTGTAATGCTCCTTCTTTTCTAGGATTCTAACATTTTCTCCAGTTGAATTTAAGCATTTCTTTCTTCCGCTTCAAGTGTTTGTGTAAATCTTTGTGCTTTGTGTGTTTCACATGATTTTTATGTGTTTTCTGAGTTTCTACTACAAATGGCCAACAGTGATCCAGATGTGGCATCAACCATTTTCCCTGCACTGACTGATTAACAAATAAGTTCATGTTTTATTCTCCTCTCCTCCTCTCAACTGACTTTCATTTATTCCTCTTTTCTTCTCCTCATCTCACCATTTCACCTCTTCTGCCACCCTTCATTTGTCTTCCAACCCTCCCAGTGTGTGGTAAATCTCATCAGTGAGCTCCAGGAGCAGATGTGCAGGTTTCAGGAGGAGATCAGCACTCGCATTCAGGAGAAACGGGCCCTGGAGGAGAAGGAGGCCCAGCAGGGGGAGCCAAGAGACGGCCAAGCCCAGGGCTACAGCCCTCAAGTTGGGTTGGTCGGCTTGGACCTGAGCCTGTCTGGCTCTGATGCCCGGCAGCACAATGGAGGAAAGACTGTTCACGTAGGGAGACTTGATGGATGAACTCATCTTACCCTCCTTCCCCATCATTTCTTCTCTTCTCTTCTTCCCTTTTAACCAGTCCACACACCACCCGGTATTTGGAATACTCCACAGAATCAAGCTAACAACCTCTCTTGTAGTGTCTGTATGTGTACTGCAGGATGTTGGGGTCACACTCTGCTCTGGTTCTTGCAGTGATTGAGGCTTTCGATTGGGTTTTCTAAATGCTTCCATACATTTGAGGAGTTATTTACCTAAAAAGAGTGAACTCCTCAAGTATTTGAAACATTTGGAACGTACTTCAGCACCGATCAGGATGTTGGTCTCTATAAATCCTTTCAAGCTTGCCTTTAGGACCAGAATTGTGTTTGGTATTAGATTCGATGTGGTTTCCTTGCATGACAGTGATTCCTCCACTAACAAAGTTTACATCTGTCAGCTTCCTAATACACTGACCAGGTGGATGGGTCATGTTACGGTCCCTATAACCCTGCTGTCCTGAGTTTCCCCCAGATGGTGGCAGTGCGCAGCTGGCAGATGTGCGACCCGGAAGGCTTTCAGTAGTGTTCTGGGTTTCCTGGTTGTTAACTGCACGTCGTGGTGTCTGTTTCAGGAGGATCTTGTTTCCTTTATTAACCACTGTCTGGCCCCGGGGACCTTTATAACTGCACTGAATGTGAACCTGGTGTTTGAATACCCTCCCATTTATATGCTGGCATGCGTGCCCACTCATGTAGATGAACCTCGTGCCGATTGTGACACGTAGATGAAATGTATAACTTCTTTTTGAGAATTGCTCGAAACATCAGAAAAGTTTCGTAATTGTGCACATGTACGTAAAGCAGTCCGGCTAACTAAAGAATGCTATGGTTTGGCTTTTCTGCAGGATTTGCAACAAGAAGTTAAGCAGCTGAAGAGCAAAGTGGATGAGTTGGAGGGAGAGAAGAGCCAGTATGAGAGGAAATTAAGAGCCACCAAGGTACTCGCTAAAGCACACAGAGCAGTGTAAAATGCATTTTACATGCACTTAAAATCTGTTTGTAGAAGCTGGGATGCTGTGTAACATATACAAAAAGCATATCAAATGTTGAAACTGAGAAATCTTATTATATGTGCTTTTTTTGAATATGAAGACTTAAAAATGTGTTTCACTACTGCTGGAAAACATGTAAATTGTGGTTTGGCATTGTCTTCTGTGCGAAAGAAGTTCTTTCAATGTTACTCCAAAATCTGTAAACATCATTTAGTATTAGTGGTGTCTTCACAGATGTCCATTTCACTTGTCATAGGGCCCCAAAATTGCAACGTTTCATTGGTTTTTAGCCTTGGTACTTGGTCTAGAGGTGTCTCCAGAATCTCTGGATCTTTAAATATTATGACATAATGCTCCGATACTTTGAACTTCTCAAATCTTTTGTTATTTTATGAAACTTTTACGCTTAAATTGTTGAACTCTTTGCCCACATAGTTTTTCACCGAGCAGTTAGTCCCTTCCGAGTTTTTCTTCGGAACAGCTCGGCCTCTTTAAGATGTTTTTTTAAATATCCAACATCATCACTAATTGAGCTTCTTAAATTTAAGTTAAATTGCATTATTGATGTGAAATTGTAAGGAGCGCATATATAGTTTTGAGATTTGTTGTTTTTCCACAATTTTTAATAAAATGCAGCTCTTGCTTTTTTTCGAGAGTTATTTTGTGTAGAATACAATAGAATAAATAAAAAATGAATAAAAAAATGGGACTTAATGAGCTCTGAAGTTTTCATTAGGGTGGGTTAATTTCCTTTGGACAAAGCCAGGCGGCTTGTTTCCTTTTTCTTCCAGACTTGCATTAAACGAACCCAAACATTGCTCTAAACTAATCTGACTAAC